GGGAGCCTCTCCTACCTCTGTGGAAGCATTAAGGAGCAGTGAGGCAAGCAGTAAGAAGCAGCGAGTAGGTGAGCAGTAAGGAGTGAGGGGTCCCAGACTGCGAGAGGGCACAGACCGGACTGAGAGACCCCCCGAGTGCACAAATTTTTGTGCACCGGGCCTGTAGTCTATACTAATAAAAGGGTAATATGCTAATTAGACCAGGAGACCTTCCAGACAAAGCCATGGTGGCGGGCCGAGGCAGAGGTGGTTAGGGGCAATCAGGCCAGGAGGGGAGGGCAGTTTCGAGTCAGCAGGCTGGCAGGGGGGTCAGTTGGGGGCCATGAGGGCAGCAGGGGGGCAGTTGGGGGAGAGCAGGCCGGCAGTTGGGGTCAATCAGGCCGGCAGTGAGGAGCAGTTGGGCATCCAGGTGAGTGGTTAGGAGCCAGTGGTCCCGGATTGCGAAAGGGATGTCCGACTGTCAGTTTAAACCGGCAGTCGGACATCCCCTGAGGGGTCCCAAATTGGAGAGAGTGCAGGCCAGGCTGAGGAACACCCCCCCACCCATGCACAAATTTCGTGCACTGGGCCACTAGTCCTATATAATAAAAGGCTAATATGTAAATTGTCCCCTTCAACCCAGAGTTCAATCAGTGGGTGGGGCCAGCCAGCCAACTGCCTGTGGCCCCTCCCTCTGGTCGGCCTGGCCCAATAGGCCCTGATCAAGGTGGGCCGGCCAGACCCCACCCATGCATGAATTCATGCACCAGGCCTCTACTCTATTATAAGAGCAGGAAGTATTCATCTTGACCATTTTTGTTGTATATCTACGAATCTTCTCTAAATTACTCATGTCTTTCTAAAAATGTGAAGCTCAGGCCCTGGCTGGTGTGCCTCAGTTGGTTGGGCCCCAAAAGATTGCTGGTTCAGTTCCCAGTTAGATCACATGCCTGGATTGTGGGCTCAATCCTTGGTAGAGGGAGTGCAGGAAGCAGCTGATGGATGCTTTCTCCCTCTTCCTTCCTCTCTCTAAAAATCAATAAAAATACTAAAAATAAATAAAAATAAAAACATGAAGCTTAAAATTTAGTATTATATGCAATGTTGAGCACAGTAAGAAAATTTTCTCAAACTCGTTGCATATTTTTTCATTTTAATGCATGTTAATTATTTAGATAGCCTAACTACTTGATTCTAGTAAAACTTTTCTTTTGGTATGGAAAGCAGAAAATGATGTTTCATTTGTTCTACTTCAAATAAGCCAGTGTGACTTTGGTCTGGTTCCTGGGAAGCAACTAACATAAGCCAGAGCCTTCCTGAGAGGCTGGTTTAATCCTAAAGTTTGATACAAGCTGTGTTTTTAACCTTTTGAGGGCTTTTTTTTTTCATTAAAAAATAAAGTTGGAATTTCCAACATATACAAAGGCTGAGTAACTAATAAGATGAGTTCCCATGAACCAATTACTCCAACAGTTATCATGGCCAATATTGTGTCATTTATATCCCCATCCACTGCTCCCCAACACACACTTCAGATATTTGTAATCAAATCTCAGCTGTTTTTTTTTATATCTAAATGTTTTAGAAAATAGAAAAGCATTTATAGTAAGGATTCCTTTTTAGATTAACGTAACTGCACAATTTTAAATATAAAACAATTTTTTAAAAATTTATTTCAGAGAGGAAGGGGAGAGGGAGAGATAGGAACGCCAATGATGAGAGAGAATCAAGCTTCCTGCACACCCCCCACTGGTGATCGAGCCCTCAACCCGGGCATGTGCCCTGACCTGGAATCGAACTGTGACCTTTTGGTTCATTGGTCAATGCTCAATCACTGAGCCACACTGGTTGAGCTAAAACCCTTTTGAGAATCTGATGAAAGGGACTTTTGCCCCAGAAAAATTCATGTACTAATATGTTTACATTTGTACATACACATAACATCTTCAGGACGCTGAAGTCAGTTGGTTAGTCCCCTCGGGTTTATTGGCTCCAATTTAAGAACCTCTGTTCTAGAGGATCCACTATGTTGTGATCTTCCATAGAAGGTCATACTTGTAAGATTTATTCCTTTATCAGATGTTCTTTTGAAAGTGTCTTTTATTCAAGGTACTTAGGATACAAAAGTAAAATAAGATATGATTCTTTGCAAATTAATAAGGGATTTAAGCTACATAAATAATGATAAAATATAATACAGTGAGCAGTCTTAGACAAGCATAGTTTTATAGCAAGAGAGAAAGGAGATTATATTTGTCAGATGGATTAAAGTATCATTGGTCTGGGACTCGAAGAATGGTGGGATTGTGCTGGTACATATGGGCATGAGAATTCTAGGTAAGAGAACTTCCTGAAAGCAAGAAAGCATAAGGCCACTGACAAATGTTGAGGGGTTCAGTCTGATTAGCTAGTAAGATGTATGGAGGACATTAGAGGAAATTAATGAAAAGCTAAGTCATGTCTAGGTCATGAGGCTCTTGATCACCATACAGAGAATTTGGAACTTTCATAAATGGTGGGGAGCAATTGAAACAGAATATGACCATGATAGTTAATTAGAAAAATTATTTTGGTGAAATGGACTGGAAGAAAGACTAAAGTTTGGGAGACCTGTTATGAAGCTACATCAAGAATCAAAATGGAAACATAATGAAATTCTGGTAGGATTAGGAATGGAAAGCAGGGGAGAACTGTGAGAATTGTAGAAGTAGAATCAGTGAGACTTAACACTAATGCATGTTTAAGGGGAGGGAATGGTTAAAGATGGTTCGGATGTTTTGAATCTGGTAATGATATGACACTATCCATTAACACCCTCTGATGAAAACCCCTGTTATTCTAGCAATCCCTCATTCTGTTTATATAAGCTTCATTGGAATCACTAAACCTTTGACCATGGCTATTCTTTTTAGTCAGAGCCCTCCTTCCCTCTCTTCCTTCTTAGTACACCCTCAAACTCCTTTATCTCTTGTTTTTCTATTTCACTTGTCCTATAACTTGGCCCCAGTAAAGTCCAGCCATCCATTATCTCTGTTCTTATAGCCAGGGTATAGAGCACTGCTGAAGATATTTATACAGCCTTATAAATAGATACCACCCTTTGATTTCTAGCATTAGCTGGGCTCTTAAAAATATATATATATACACATATATTTATTATATGTATATATTTTTATACATATAAAATATATATATATATTTTTTAATTGATTTCAGAGAGGAAGGAAGAGGGAGAGAGAGATAGAAATATCAATGATGAAAGAGAATCATTGATCGGCTATCTCTTGCACACCCTTTACTGGGGATTGAGCCTGCCATGCGGGCATTTGCCCTGACCAGGAATGGAACCAGTGACCTCCTGGCTCATAGGTCAATGCTCAACCACGGAGCCATTCCAGCTGGGCTAGCTGGGCTCTTAATAGCACTCAAACATCCTTTATGTCACTAGTCAGCTTCCTCTCCCTCTGGTAG